ACCTTTTAATTATTTGGATTTTTAAATTTCAAATTTCAATTTCTTTCCTGTGAAAATTCGTTATCTTGGTATCCTAATAGCTTTAGTACTGAGGTGTTTCAATTTTCAATTGCTAATCGCTTTTGGCATTCAAACTTACTTAACAGCAAAAGTGATAAGGCATCGAAGTAAAACATTATCGTTATAACATCTCATTAGTTAAACATGTGGTAGGTAATATACAGGTTCGGAAAGTCCCCATGGTACATCGGCCGTTATGTGAGAGCGATAAAGTAAGTCATAGAAATCCGTGCGATAGACAAGCATGGTTAGATTGAAGTCGTTTCATAATCTGAATAGTCATTCCCACTTCTAACCCGAAACGAGCCGTGACTATTCAGATTATGTAGTAACGGCTTCACTATAGCCATCCTTGTCTATCGTTCGGATTTCTTTACTTTACTTTGTCGCTCTCATGTAAAGGCAGATGGACCATGTGGAATTTCCAGCCCTGTAGATAGGTAAGATAACTCGGAAAAACTGGAAATTGTAATTGCTATTTGTACACAGTAGTATATCATCACTATTAAATGTAATAAACTGGTACAGATCCGACCATATGTTAGGAATATATAATGTCGAAAGTTTAGCATACATTTTTAAGGTATTACAAAAAGTGTTAACAACATCGTTTATTTCTAATATTGTACCACGGTTTGAATTTGTAACAAAATTTATTTCGTTTCTTCGTTAGTCGAAACAGAAATGAAGTAATTTTAATTTTTACTAGCAATATTTGCTATTTGTAGTGTGTATACATTTTTGCAGACTTGATTGTACTCACCAAATCCTACACCAATATACTTGCCTCACTTTTAACTATACAGGACAACTAGTTTCCTAAATTGAAAACCTTGAGAATAGGTATTATCTTGCACATCTACAATTAGTACAAAAATAGAATGAATATAAAATTATTCTTCAAGACGCACTTTCATCTGGGAGAGAAAGTCATGCGTGTATAGTTTTCCTTCATATATCATTAAAACCATACCACGCAACTTTTCACAAAGTTTTGTTCACTGTTCTACTTTTCTCATTGTCAACACTACTATAGAGTTATTTAAAAATGTATAAAAAGCACCTGAAAGAAATAATTGAAATTGGTTTTAAATATGTTAACAATTTAGTTTTTCTTGAAAACATTTCGATAAAATTCCAAACTCGTTCACAAGCAATTACGACTAATGTAGACGGTTTTCTAGTTTTTCGTTCTAATTTCGGTCTGTACGTGACTTTACGTTTCAACAATCGTAAATCGTTTAGTTTATGGTATTTTCGACTCGGACAAATACACAGATATGATCAATTTGTTACGTCTTACGTCTTTTGTACTTTAAACGTAGCCCATTTGTTTTCTGGTGAAATCGATTAATTATATCGAAGGTGTATTTTTAACTCGCAATAAATTACAATGCAAATACAGAAAACGAAACCCCCAACGATGGCGTTCGGTACGAATAAGTTCGACATCAATTCCCACTATTGGTTTAATGGTGTTAGGTAAAATTTTGTTTTGCTTTTAGGCTTGTATGATTAAGTTTTAGCACCCAAAGGCAACCGATCACAAAAACGAAAGATTACTATTTTTTATTGTCAGAATTACATACCTACCATTATTGTTGTATCATTTACAAAATTGATTTTCTGCGTTTTCTAAAATATTAACTAACTCGTTAAATAAATAAAAATTGTTGTCCTCCTTTGTCAAGTTCTCCCACATTAACGTTTTTTTTTTAAATATTCTTTTACTAACTACTTGGCGCTATATTTAAACGTGTTTATATTATTTTCTAATTAACTTTGCAGAGTAGGTTGAACTATTCGGCAGTAAAATGAACTTATAAGTGTTTCTGAACATAAACACCAAGAGCGGCAAAATGCAATTAAATTGCTATTTTAAAAATAATTGAATTTCGTATTGTATTTGAAACACGTGTTTTTCACGGTTATCAGGGTTATTCCCAAGATTCTACCCCTTTATCATTTTTATTTTCATACTTAGAGCAAAGTGGTATTGTCCAAAGTTGTAGTAAATTTTGTTTTAATTTCAAAACTGTTCTGTTCAAAACTGTTGCAGTTCGAAGATATACTTAAGTCAAACTTTTTTGACTCCTGTATATTTTACATATTTGGATAGAGCGCTGCCTTAACATTACAGTGATATAAAATTTGATCGGTCTATCTCTAATAATAAGATAGATGTGGCTAAAACAATATAGAGATTATTGTTAGCATATTAATTTGATGATATCTAGCTCATTATTAGAGATAGATTTACTAAACCTTATCGAGATCTCAATATAATCCTCAGAAAGCTATCGAAATATATATCTATCCATATATGTATACAGTGTGTTATATTTTGATAGCACACACAGAAAATACTGTTGTGAAAATTCACACAATTGTTCCTAAAATCGTGACAGGAATAAATTGTATCAGACTTTCATCCAATATTTTTTGAATATTTAAGAATATCTATAATTTGTTGGTAATAATTTTACAACTGTAAAAAAGAATCACATTGTAAATGTCAAATTTTCTCACAATTTTTTCCTGTTACGATTTTAGGAACAATTGTGTGAATTTTTACAACAGTATTTTCTGTGTGCAGTTTTGATATCACAAGAAAACTGTATACAACTTTGGTTTAAATAACTTTTTTCTAAGAAAATAGCAAGGATAAATGGGAATATATATTATATATTTGTGTTAGTAATCAAATTTGACGCACTTTTTTGTTCGCTGTTTCTTTCTACGACTATAGACAACAAAGCGTTTTCAACCTACTTCCTTTAGAAAATTTAAGTCGGAAACCTTTTTTTTTGTCCACGATTGTACATTTATTGTTAATCTTAAAGACAATAAAAATAACAAACAAGAGTAGATGTTTAATTCAGATTCAAGTAGACTTTTTTTGTATTTTCGTCCGTGCTCTATCATTATTTCTTTAAGAAAAAAAAAACACTATTAGTGTATTCATTTTCTGGATTTACAATAGGTTGACGAACTCTCATGTAATAAACATTAGATGCACGATGTAGATAGCTATACAAGTATGAATGAGGCCCTACTCCTGTTTTTTTATTCATTATCAAACACGAATCAGTTTATAACTTTAATGGATTGTAATGAGCGTTCAAATAAAAACGTGGTCAAGTTGGTTCTGAAAATTTGGACGTAGGGCGTAGCGTATAGCAAATGAACTTAAACGTCATCTGTCAAAGCGCTATATCGCCGCTATCAATTTGAATATTTTCGTTTTAAAAAGCGTTTAAAATGGTGTTTTCTCAAGAACAAAAAGTGTTTATCATAGAGTCCTACTTTAGAAATGGACGCAAGATTGATGGAATATGGAAGTATTCTATTGAGGAATGTTTCATAGAATTTCAAAATCAATTTCCCGGCGTTGTTGAGTACAAAATTTTTCAAAGTGCAGTTCAGCGTTGTGTTAATGTTTTTCGTGAAACGGGCAGTGTAACAAGAAAAGAAGGAAGCGGCCGACCTAAAAAGCGGACTGAAGAATTAAAAGAAAATGTCCAACAAATAATGGAAAATGCGCCAAGAACTTCTGTACGTGTTTTATCACAAATGGTGGGAGTATCAGTCGGTACCTGCCACACAGTGTTAAAAAAAGATTTGCGTTTGTTCTCCTATCGTTTAACTTGTCAGCAAGAACTTCATGAAGTTGATTTTCCGCGACGGGCTGTATTTTGTGAATGGTTTTTAAACAACTACGGTGAACTTCATAATATCACCTTTTTTTCTGATGAAGCCTGGTTTCATTTAAGTGGTTACGTAAACTCACAGAATATGAGAATGTGGTCTTCTGAAAAACCAGATAACTTTTTTGTCGAGGGCCCTCTACACGCTCAAAAAATTGGAGTTTGGTGTGCTCTCAATCGAAGGAGGATTTATGGACCTATTTTTTTTAATGGTACTCTTACTGCGCAAAGGTATAGAGAAGAAATTATCGCTCCTTTTGTTAACCAGCTGGAAGAAAACGAAATTACAAACTTTTACTTTCAACAAGATGGCGCAAGGGCACATACGGCAGGCGAGACGATGAATATGTTGAGGGAAGTTTTCCAAAATCGACTAATAAGTCTCAATGCTGAACATGAATTTCCACCGAGGTCATGTGATATTACGCCGTGTGATTTCTTTTTGTGGCCTTACCTTAAAAACACTATTTTTGAACTGCCTATTCCTGATTTAAACCATCTGCAGGCTCGACTTATAGACAAGATTCGTGAAATTAACAATACCCCGAGCATCTTAGAAAATGTCTTTAATTCTTTGAGGAACAGGTGTGAAAAGTGCTTGGAACAAGGAGGGGGACACTTTCAGCAGCTGCTTTAATTTATTGTTATAACAAGGAGGGGGACACTTTCCGCAGCTCCTTTAATTGTTTGTTATTGTTATCACGATTATTCTTTAAAATAAAGTTATATAGTCATTAACGTTATTGAAACTGACAGCTGCTATACAGCTCGTTGAGAAATGAGGTTAAGTTGGTCGCTATAAGCTACTCCCTACGTCCAATGTGTCAGAGCCAACTTCGACCACGTTTTTATTTGAACGCTCGTTACATATAAGGATGTAGTGTGATAATCGAGTTCCTACGAAACAATAAAAAATGGTTAGGAAACTTTTTTCTTTAAAATTTGACCGTTTCTTCCTTAATTTTTCCTTATTACTAGGTATTATGACCGCAATATTTTGGCTATATTTTCCTTACTATTCGAAACAAAACGATATTAGTTAATTTATAAAATTCACATCACAAAAACCACAAAATTAATATATCTAGGACATTTATATAACTTATTTTCTAAAACATCGATGGTTATTCTAGGAGGAGGATTTTTAAGGTTCTTGTGGTTTATTTTCAGCTCTAAAGTTAATATTTATTATTCAAGCGGGACGAAGCAAAATCACTGGTTTTTCCGACTTACCACTCCATCAAGCTAGCATTCAATCCCTAGAATAGAAAATCAGATATATAGGTACTTACAACGGAAAGAGAAGCAGTTGCGAAAGCCACAGGAACAAATATACGAGACGTTCAGTCACTGTAAAGGCGCTATCGTAACTGTGAATTATAGCAGGTTGACAAATGCAATGAAATTTTTAATATTTGTTCTGGCGCTGCCGCCATAAATCACTGGGACAATGTTATCAGCGGCAGGGAGACTGCAAAATATACCATGTTTAAGTGGAAAAGCTGATATCAACAGCTAAATATGTATTTGCTACCTCACTCTGCATACAGATAAAAAAGTAACTGACAAAATTTATCCGCAGACTTTACTGTATCACAGAAAGGTATTCAAATGTAAACAATTCAAATGGGCTTTACAAGATTAGAAATATCCGAGGTGTGGCATTGTTATGGATAACAAGTTTTCTTTATAATAGAACTCAGTTTGTGTCTATAAATAATGTTGATTCGAATACAAGAAGTATAACACTCGGTGTACCACAGGGTTCTATATTGGGTCCTGTCCTTTTTTTGTTGTACCTAAATGACTTGACAAATTTTTCTACTGCAGCATATTTTAATTTATATGCAGATGATACTTCAATCATTTTATCTGACAAATTAGACAAAATTTTAACTAATAAATGTAAAGATGTGCTGTCAGATATGGGTGAATGGTTTTCACAAAATTTTTTGTACTTGAATCCCGATAAGACTCAACTATTACGTTTCCATTCCAGACAGAAACATTGTGACCCACTTAACATTACAATCAATAATTCTATTATTCCCAGAGATTCTGATAGTGTGAGGTTACAATTTCATCAAAATAAAAAAAGTACGTGTAATCGTAAGTATCGTATACTTACATTTTTGCAGAATTATATTTATTTTTACAAAATATAAAAGCTACAGAATTGAAGTCTACATAAAGCATTGCGCATGCAAAATAGAATAATTAATTTAAATGGATACACCTTCGGCTTGACCAAATTCTTCTTCTCCGCGAGATTCAGATGCGCAATAGCACCGTTACCAGACTAGCACCGGAGCTCATTCCCTGTCTGAACATCGAACGGTGAACAGCGGTCATTAAATAGTATCAAGTGCATAATCGGCTTTGAAATAAGTATGAATTGGGTCAAGTCCAGGCAATATATAATATAAAACCTTCGTTAAATAACTATATTTACCAGACCGAAGTACCTGTCCTACTATTAATATCTTCTGTCTTTGTCACTCCTACTGTGGTCTCTGTTTTAGATCTGCGCATCTCGTGGGCAAGATGAGTTTAGTCAAACTGTGTATCTCGAACCTTTACGTTAGTTAATGGTGAAAATGGGGAAAGGACATACATTTAGGAAATATTTAAATATTAGACCGCCAAATCCTTCCACTCACCTTCCACTTTTTTATTAAAAAAAAATGGAAAATGCGTAATTTAATTTTTTGGTATAAATACGATAGTCAAAGATAGTCCCTGTAGTAAAAATAGTCAAATACGAGGCCAAATATTTAAATTTAAATAATCCCGCATTATACACTCGACATACACATGGTCATAGAGGCTGGAAATCCTTTACAGTAGCTGAAGGCTACGTAGAGAATTTCGTAGAAATAATACAGAATTCTGAAAAAAATTGCATACTACCACAAGGCGCGTTGAATATAGGTAATAGGTAATATTATCGCTGGTTTTTCATTTAACGTCAACTTCAATTTAGATTCTAATAATTCTGGCAATTTACCAACAGTAAACAATGGTTCTAACAACGTATTGCAGTCTAACAGCATTAATATAGTTGTAAGGCAATAAATGAAAGAGAAATTTTGGAAGCTGTGGAAATACATTAAAGAGTTCCTCGTTCAGATCAAATTTCGTTCTCCTAAAAAACTGCATGAGGGTTTTAGTACATCCTTTGCAGATACTTTTTAATTTAATTTTTTTTTAAATTTCAGTTTTTCCAGAAATTTAGAACATTTCCAAGTAGCCATATATTCAACTAAAAATGTTATGCTAATTTTTCAACAAGGTTTTGTGAATTCTAGATCAACCATAAGTAACTTAACAGTATTTAGCCAACATTTATGTGAAGTACTTAACAAAAGAGGACAAGTGACGCGGTGTACAAGGCCTTTCAACCTATCACCGTAATATATTGCTCATAAAAATTTCTTGTTTAGGTTTCAACCAAATTTATTTGTAACTTATACAATCTTACTTGAATCAACAGAAACATTACGTTAGGTTTTTGCTCAAATACCTACATTGTAATTGGTGGCGTACCTCAAGGGTCTAACTTGGGACCATTGTTATTTCTATTTTCATTGACAACTTATGTGCTGTACTTGATTGTAAGATGTTGATATTTGCCAATGATTTGATATTATGTTAGGTACAGGAATAATTTTGCAGAATTGGTGTCTGGAGAATCACCTCTACGTTTCTGAATGGCAAATAATAACATTGACTCGCAACCACATTGCGTTATCCGTATAATATTGATAAAATTGGATAATATTGTAATACTGTACTATAAGGGATTTGGGAGTCCTCTTTGACTGACAACTAACATTTAATTATAGTCTTTCCGAAGTCAGTTCAACATGTATAAAAACGCCTAGCAATAAAATTTAATGAGTTTCATAGGCGTCCTTAAAAAAATTTGTATAATATGGAGAAACTCTATATTATAAGTTTATTTGACAAACAAGATATTTTAATTATTTATGTCCTCAAACAATTGTATTATATTAATGGTAAATTTCGTTTTGTTCCGTTTTAAAAGGTCTCCAAAATCCCTTAATACTTAATATTAGTAAACACAATATCCCTATTCTCCCTTTTGCAATTGTAATATGACTGATTAATTGCCTATAAAAAATTAAAATTATCTACATCACATCAATTTTCGAATTGCTGCACTGCACTGCTAGGTCATTTGTTGACAACTGAATTTATGGCCACGTCTCCCAGTGTAGCTATGTTTGTGCCGCGTTTGCCTGAGTGTCTATTATCAGATATACTTTCAGTTCAATAGATAAGATGGCGTGTAGATTTCATTAAAGGGACGTTAAATATATAATATAATACGCCCCTGGCGAGAATAAACATTGGTATTTCCATATATTTTACTGTTATCACGTATTATAAAATGCACAATTTTCGAAAAAAATAGGTTTTATATCGACATTTATTTGATCAACCCCTACTAATTTTCGTTGTAGAATCATGTACAGGTATAGATTGGCCGATTCTTTAGCAGACACAATGTATATGTCAGTAATAATAGCGAATGACAAAAACCAAGATTGTGATGATGATTACCATTACAACAAATATATCTTACTGAAAAAATCAACTTTTACCTGCACTTGCACCAAAAATATCTAAAACTAAAAACTGAAACTTTAAGACATACTTCTTATCTTACATTTCGCGACGCCGGTCCTGACCCCTCCGGATTATTGGTTAAGAAAGTGCGGTTTAAAAATAACTCCCCTGATTAGTTTATTGCCCAACGCGGCAACAATTTCGCATTCGCATTATCGCCGTATGTAGAACCCAACCACGTAATACAGTGTAGTGAACGGCGTGCCGAAGATGTATAACTAGGCATCATGTGGAACACGAATGGGCATCCGGTCCGTACTGGTGAATTATAGCAGGCGATTAATAAAAGCCTTGATTTGTATCGTTATTTTTATTGTACCACCCACAAAGGGCCACTGGTAATGGCGCGTTTAATGGCCTTTCCGACTGTAGACATACGTTAAGTTCGAATATAAATAAATAATTGCATCCAGTGGCGGAACTCAAAATTTAGGCTCCCCAGCAAAATTCAGTTCGGGCACTTCTACAGCCTTCAGTTAAACTGGATTGATTTTTCTTTATGAAACACCGAGGCAAATCATTTAGCCGTTATTTAGCCTTAAGAAGACATGTTACGATAAAAATCATTTTGCTAATGGAGCTAACTTTTTATTTACCGTTGCAATCCCATCATCTTACAAGGTAGTTATAGTACAACTTTTACCCTAGCTACTCTACTCGTTCTTTAAAGGTATTAATTTTCAAATAAAATAAAAAACTTGTTCCCAAAAAATGTTCAGTACCAGAAATCCACGTGTAAAAGATATCTAACCCCACAGACAAGATTCCTACCTGTTGATATCGCAGAAAACAACAACTCCATGGATTACATGCCTCAACCAAATTGTCTACAATACACCATCATAAACATCAAGGGATAGGAATTGATTACGCAAGACCCGCACGGTAACAAAGGCAACAGTATATTAACGTGACGTGAACGTGAAAAGCCTTCTGAGGCAGCGGCTCACGCATGTCTCGGTTAACCCGCTTGGCACGCCATTGAATTGCGGCTCTTTCTGACAGTCTTGGTAATAAGTAATCAAAAATAGAGATTATAATGATATGTCCAATTATAATTAATACAAAACACATCAATATCAGCAATTAGGAGTCTTGTCTGTGGGGTTGGATTATTTTTACTTTAAATTTCTGGTATTCAAGAACTTTGGTTGACTGCATTTTACACGCACAACGATATCGAAATTAAACAAGAGTCTGTATTTTAGATAGAAAGTGATGTTCTTGAAGAATGACTCATGTTACACACATATACAGGGAAAATATATCTCTTGATTTACCAAAGGTAACATGTCCCCTAGGTGTACGCCGAAATTAACAGGAAATTGTTATATGTTATGCACCAAAAACACTGACAATTTTTAAGCTGATGGACCCGTTAATATTTGTAATAAAGCATTTTTAGCCCAATCGTCAATCGTCATAGCCTCTATTTCTAGATTTCTCAATTTTAATGAAGGGCTCCGTATTAAAAAGTGCAGTTTTTTTAAAAATTGTACATATGCTATACGTCGAGCTTAGGAGGCACCGATTTTTTTGATGTTTATTGTACATATAGGAAGAAATATAATTATTTTAATTTATGATATTTACCATTTCGATCCTAATGATAAATATTTTTACTTTTTCGTACTCCGTATTATCATTTCCAAATACTTGTTCTGTTATTTAAATAATATACATCTATATATAAACCCGAATAACAATAACAGATACTAGGCATATTACGCATGTCTCGGATTAGCAGTCCACAGATGTCTCCAACCAGTATGATCGTCAGCAAACAGTTTAAAAATCATGCGCAAACACTAAACTTCTAGTCAAAGTTTGAGATTTTTTCTGTACAAACAGTAATTTCATAATACGCATGTTCCAGGCCAATGTTCCCTCTAATTTTTTTGCAAAAGTACAAAAGTTATGGGAGCAAAAATGTTCAAAACGTATGTAAAAGTGTGCAAGGGAGGAAGGGGCGTCCTGTGACTGTGTTTGAAAATGGTGAACAAGCCCATTGAGCGCAGAATACAAAAACAACTGCGCAACTTTCGAAAATTGTTCCAGGCAATTGGAAACCTTTTTAGACTGCTGAAGAAACAAACCTATTACCTATACGAGTTTAAACCCATTTTGTATCTCTTAAGATAACCAGGATTAAAAGCCATAGTAGATCCTAAGTAAAAAATCCCCAGCTCCCTCAAGTGGTGTTGCCATATTCAGACCTTATCCTTAATTAATTCGCCGATAGTTGTTAACATTATCCGTACAAGATTATTCATATTAATTAGAATTTCACTAATTCGTATTTGCAATTTTCAGGGTTAGACGTTGGAGAAAATCCGAGGAATGGGTTTTAAAAGGAAAAGCTGTAACATCACGACATTGGCCTTCGCGGTTGTATGGATTAATGAGTGATCTTGCATTCCTTCGACGCAGCCGTCGTCTTTAGGTACGTCGTTAACGCCAAGTTAAAAAAGTCCATTTAGAAGTCTAAGATCACGTCTATTTTTGTTTGATAGAGCGGTAACTTTGTCATGGAATTTGTATTTAATATTTACGTCCAATTTTTAGGGCAAAAAATGTTACCCGTTCAGTGTTCGATTGAAAATATGAAAAGATTCACAATAGTGTCGAGATATTCAAATTCACTTTACTTGGAGGCTCCCCGTAAGGGTTCTTTTTTAACTTTTAGTAAAAAAATCAACTGGTTAGTTATGATCAGGTCAGGTTAGGTTTTTCTGTATGAAGGCGTATGAAAAAGATTCAATTAAAATTATCTTTGGCCCACGTCAAGCCAAGTCAATTTGGTTGTTTCGGTTCTACCTCCAAGTTGGCGAGAAAAAAACAATCCCATAACCTCAATCTTGCAATTGAACCTGTCAGTTCATTAATTTATGAATATCTAAATGAAACAATAACAAGTTACTTAATTAAAAAACGTAGATACATTTTTATTATTAATCTATAGCAAGTGAATTAGTATCTAAATACGGATGGCAATGCTGACAGTACATGACGAAGACATACACTCAATGCGTACTGAGTGCAAAAGTGCAAATATGTCGAAAACGCTGTTAATTAAAAATTTTGTGTACCAACCTAACCAACCAAGTCAGTTTATAGTTTTTTAATAAGAGCGTTGTATTAAACATGAGTGTATAAATATTTTTTCTTAAAAGTATTCGCTGTTATTTCTAAATATTAATGTTCAAAATTGTGCAGAATTTTCCTGAATATATTAATAAGCATATAGTAATACTGTGTTTATCACCCCTATTTGAGGAATATTGCACCTTCCTCAATTTCTTTTTTTCTCTGGATTCAATTGCATATGTCAAACATTCAGCCAGTCATTCAAAATACGTTCAAAAATTTAACTTAATTAATTTCAAACAAAATTAAATCATAATTTTAATGATAATACATGAGTATTATTAAATTATTAAATATAATATAACCTAATTGTAAGACTTTTCTTTCTATATTGCTAAAGTTTGCGTTCATGTGAACTTCACTTAATTCAATTCTGTTGTGAAACAAACTTCAGTTTCGCTGTTTTTGAATACTGGGTTAATATTTTATTTGTTGTTTAAATTGCGGCCCAGTCAGACGGCTCCAAGGAATGCTGAAGTCCTCAAAATGTTGAAAAACAATCGAACATCGTCTGGCAACGAGACGAACTAATAGTTTACTTATCAGTTTTTTTTTTTAAATTTTTAGATGACCACTAACCAGTAACACACTGTTTATTTTTAAAACTATTTCACGAACATTGTTTTGCAATTATAAATAATTTATCCATATACGTGTCGATTTGTAACAACGAATTATTATACAAATGCGTAACAGATGTAAACAAAATAGTCGAACAAGGAAAACTATTTTTTGCCGTAGCTTAATAACATGAATGAAAGACAGGTAGTTATTTAAAAAAAAAAGAAATCAAAAATAATCCAAGATACTCAACAATATAAGAGGTTCAACAATTGAAATAATTTAACAAACATAATAACCTCTTACACCCCCTAATTGCCTAATTTCCTCTATTTGATTAAACATATTAAAAAATTCGTAAAAATATGGTGCCTATCAATGTACAACTCTTCAGTCAGAACAAATTGTAACCTTCATCATCATCATCATGAGGTTGAAGGAAAAGAGAAAAGTACGCAAATTGTGTTTAAATATTACTTGTAGCAAGGAGCGTATAAATTTAAAAAAATGTTTTGGACATACGTATTAACAATTAATTATAACAATCTGTTTGCAACTATTACATTATAATTATAGAGACGCGCGCGTTTGCGTGTCACAAATTCATAAATTTGTAAAAAAAAAACTTCCTGAAACATTTTACAAATCCTGTATTCCTGTATAAACTCAATAGGTATATCAATACAGAATAAGATTAAAAGTTTTTTCAAATTTCCTGCAAAAAATGGTTATAAAAACCATGTTCTTGTAAAATTAGTTTAAACGCAAGCGATTCCTAAATTCTTTTTAGACAGTTAGGTTTTAGATATTTTTCAGTTGCGATGGCAGTGTTTTTAACTTAGCACATTGTTTTATGTGGGGTGTACCTACCTAGTGAATTTGCAAAAGTGGAGGAACATCATACGCGACAAAAAACAATGTTTCTTATCGACTATCAATAGAAATTATGCAAAAATTGTGCACCTGTTTCGATCGACCGTCCTCTCAGGGCCACCCTGTAACGGACATAGGCATATTCTCATTTTTTGACCTTTCTCTCACTGCACTCTTTAAAAATGTACGCGACAATTCCGCCTGCGGCTGCGGACCACAACCGAGCACATTGTCAACAATTCAGTGCAGAGACTTTCGCAGAACAAGCTCTCAATGCATCCGGCCAACTACTGCGGTCAGCGATCAACAGCGATCCTTTGGCCTTTGTTTAGTTTAACTTGCTGGAATGCCAGCGCTGTCTTCCAGCTTACGTCGCGCTTGCGCCTCCAGGAATTTTCGTTTGTAGCGGGCCTTAAATTAGGGACACTGGACGTTCTTGTCAATTTGCTGCTCGACCCGTGATCAATTAAAATCATCTAAGCCGTCATGAATGCCACGATTAAAGTCGTAAACTGGGTTGCATAGCGCGACAGGACCGGCTTCTCAAATGTCAATGACCTAGTTTATACGGCAGTTTGTTATTTGCGTCACACAGGGGCGCGCGCAGGGGAAAAGAGGAGTTTTCCCCTAAAATGCGAATGACATACAAAAGGCTCCTCACTATTTGGAGTTGTATACCATGACACAAAGACTAGAAGTTACGATATTTCCGTGAACTAAAATCGATTCGTTTGGCGCATGACGTCACGTGGAGAGAGATTTAAGTGGTTCGTTAATAAAGTTCGTGCTAATAGTTTATGGTTACGTAAAAAGTTTGACTGTTTTATCAGTACCTCAGTAGTGACCATTACTTACCAAATATCTTGAACAAATTCAAGCATGTGTCGCATTAAATATATATTTACACGTCCGCAAGTTTCAATACAGATTTTTTTAATATTTTCGTTATTTGGAAAATGGAAAACATTTTGTACAATCAAAAATACAAATAATGTCACATCTATTACAAATATGAAATTTCACCGCACGGCGTAAACAGACTAGTGATACAACTATACTACTACTATAAAAAAAACATCATTTTTAGTAATGGAGATATTAGGAGACGTTGTTGTTAAACATTTTAATGCTACTGAATGTGTTCGATAAGTGCATTTTATTTGAATTGTACCTCAATTTAAAAAAAAATACTCCCATTTTATTTTAAAAACGAGCCATTTTCGAATTCATTTTTAATCCAAGTACCACATGTACCAAAAATCGATTAAGTGGATAAATTTTTGTTACAAATACAACAATTTTAAAGCTTAAAAATACAAAGCAAATTTTATAAAACGTATTGCTCCTAAAAAAGTTAAAGCTTCTATCACAATAGTTTTTACATATATTTAAAATCGTATTTACATAAAAAAATTGTATATCTCCAATATCTCCGCCGCTGTTTGTCCTATAAACATTTACACAAAAAACGTTATAATGTTTTAAAACATTAATCAGCATGTTATGTACTTATCCTACACCCTGTATTTTCCGTATGTTTTTTACATACCTGAAAAGATTCATTTATTTTCTAGCTAATTTTTAATTATCTGTTAATATTCGTTGATATACTTGCATATCAACTACTACTACTACTATTAACTTGATATATTTGCATTCTCATTCGTACTTACTAATATCGCAAATTTCTAAGTAGCACGGCACATACAATATCCACAAATCGCTATCTATTCTCCACGTGACGTCACAACATCCCTCTGACCCTTTCTTTCCTGACTGCGTTCTGATTGTTGGCCATATACTCATTATACTTTTGTTCAAAACCGATTTCGATGTTGGTTCTAAGGCCTTATAACTGGTCGGATCCAATGTCCCAAACGTTTCGCCGTCCTTCAGTGTCTGCATCTTCAGCTTCAGTGATGACTGCAAAAGTTTCGCAGCGTCGCGCAAGATCTGCAACTGACGGCGACAGATATGCCACGGCATAACCCGAAATTGTAACCCTAGATAAATGATACTATTGTAACGTACTTTAAATATCCTCATATGTGCATAAACTTTCATCTTTCACCTACTTGTAAATATTAGAACATCTTTGTTTATTTGGCAGCGGTAGGTGGTGTTCGCGGAATTTGATATTAATCACAAGAAACTCTGTACACAAAATGTGTACATTTACTGAATATTAATACTTATATAATTCAGTTACTTTTCTCACTATCAAAATTTCTAACAAAACACAAAACAAACAAATAATATAAAATTGTGCAATGGAAAAAAAACTCATGGAATCCCATTGCACTGCAGGGGATATATATAAAGGGTTGCCTAATCTACAGGCTGATAAGAATTAGGAATTAATTAGAGCATATTATTGCTTTTATTATTATTATTATGTAGGATTCGCTGTTTCTGATTGTGGAAATATATTATTTAATCATTAAAACGGATCCTTATTTGCAATTGAATCTTGACATGTACGTACCGCAATTCGGATGACTGATACAGTAATTTTAGTAATTTTATAAAATACAAACGTCGTTTATGGCATTGGGTTATAAAAATAATTATGGGATTTATGGGTATGTATGGGATCACAATTCGGGCCAATGGCAATTTATTCAATGTTTTTTTATGCGAAATCTGTTAGCATTGTCACGAATTCTTTTCCAGAGTTACGAGACTGCCACTAGGTGGTGCGACATTGTAAAATGGAATTTTAAGTTATACATAGTTTTGTTTTCTGCGTTTCTAATTTTTAATTAATCAAATTGTTCAGTGTGGCTAAGCTGCGATAGTATTTTATTAACATTTCGACGACCGATTTGTGATAAAGTATCAATAATCATGTGCTGGGACGTGTTAATTATTAAAAACAATTAGCAGGTTATGTATCACGTATGTTGACACTGTTACCGTTGCCAATAAAAATCTCGCGAGGGGCGTAACAACCTACTTGACACTTCCTGTGAAACTTCCAGTATCTGGAACAAGCGACGATCGGCGCTCACCCGACGAGATGTTCACCAAGAAAAAAAAGAAGCCGCAGATTTCGTCGCCCACGAATTTCGAGCACAGGGTTCACACTGGCTTTGACAAACACGAAGGGAAGTATGTAGGCCTACCACTCCAGTGGGCCTCTATAGTGGGCAACAACCAGATACTGAAGTCGACAAATAGACCCTTGCCTCTCGTAGACCCCTCTGAGATTACCCCGACAGAAATACTCGACCTCAAGACTATCGTTCGTGGAGATCACAAACATGAGAACCGTCTAAGTGTTCACCAGGCCAAGCCGGCCAACAGTAATGGTATAGTTCTTCCAAAAATGTCGAATGTTGCCCGGTCCAACTCTCTTAGGTCCTCCAGTCCACCCAGGCTGCGTCGCGAACATCGAAATAATGCCAACGTCCCTCCAGCCGTTCCTGAGGAACATATCATGCAGTATCCTTCTATGAGACGGGATCCGAGTATAAGTAAGTACAGTTTGCTATCTATTTTGATGTAAAAATATTATATCGCTAGGTATATCAATATTTGTATTTGTTTTGAACTATAATTTTTAAAAAGCAATCAATTTAGTTAAATTAAAATGGTCATTCAGTGTGATTTGTACTGGAGAATTTGTCAAATATTTAGCTTCAATCGAGGCTTCAGTACACATTTTAAATAAACCACTTACTGAAAAATTAAACTTGGACTCTATTTACTACTAAATTTGATGAAACATAGCTATGGAGTGACGGATTATGGGTATATAGTTTTAAGAATCTATAATTTTTATAAAATTGCAAATCTCAAACCTGCTACAATTTATTTAAAACATCAGATTTTCAAAAATTATATTAGTAACTTTTTATCTGAAGTATCAAGGCATTATATCCCTCAAACTACCCCTCTTACTAATTATTAGGAAGATCTATTCATTTTTCAGTAAATTTAATATCCAACATTTAAAAATGTAACAGTTCCTGTCCTGGTATATTTGCATTAATTTAAATTATTTTGATTTTTGTATATTTTAAAGGGCATTTTCACATTTGTGTGAACAATTTATATTTTTTTGCAAAATGAATGTTTGATAATTAAAAAAAATTGCAATAGGCCACGCCAACGGTTTTACCTGGTTTAACCTCCTATTATTAGAGTAGAGAAAAAATCAGCAATAAGCACATTCTATTTAAATACTTATAAGTATACCTTTAAATCACAATACCTTGTGAAATTGCTTGAATACTGCTTTTTAATTTGTTTTTAAAATATCTTTTATTTATATCAGTTGACCAGATTCGGCACGAGATCTTGATACAACATAATAACAACCACCAAGGTTTATCAATATTTATCAAGACAGAGATTTATATTCTTTATAAAGATTTCCTTATATTCTCTTGCATTGTTTTCGAGAAAATGGCAATTTTGTATTGTAAATGGTTAGTAATGTTCCAAACGAGGTTCTCCTGAAAATAATTCGCTTTAACATATTTAAGTGATCTGTTTAACTAATAAATATTATTATTATAAGAATGAAACACACTGCCGTTATTCTATCTAGGCAAGCCCCAAGTAAGAGACAGTTCTCCCGCGGAACGATCCCTCAGCAACCACGAGGTACCAAACACTCACATTAACAACATAAACGGCAACATCCCCGAACCTTATGTTGGCTACCCTCCGCGAGAACATGCCCAGATATCCCCCGCAGCTTCTATGGCTTCCAGTGGGCCACCGCCACCAATGGGTCTATCACATCTAGGGTCACACACTCATTCCAGTCACGGTTCACATCAAAGTCTACAACATGCCGGTTACCCTCCCAGACCTGACCAGAATCAAAACGTTAAGAACGGGATGCAACCTCCTCCGGTACACGGGCCAGTTGGTGCCCCGAGTCACACAGCAGCTACAAAGCATCACGAACAAAGATTGACTCATGAACAGGTAGGTTTTTTATTATACAGGGTGTCCGGAAATTATGAGAATAAAATTTAAGGATGGTTCAACTCGAAGAAATTATTGAGCGAGTTCCTATGACCCGTTTTCGAAAAGTCGGTATTTATGATGTTAATACCCATGAGATTATTTTTGCTTAATGAATATTTTGTTATATTTTTTTCGGTCAAGGGATTTTTGAAATTTGATCTCATAGTTTTCTAGTTACCTGTATTTTTATTTCTTTTGGCTACTGACATTTTTGCTTATGTGTACAGTTCAGGGCAGCGCTCCAAATGGTCGTTTCCTCAAAAGACCCCCGGGAAAACCTGGAACGGTTCGTTAAGATCGGGGAGGGTTCCACCGGCACGGTCTGCATTGCCCACGACCGCACCACTGGCCGTCAAGTTGCTGTTAAAAAAATGGACCTGAGGAAACAACAACGAAGGGAACTTTTATTCAACGAAGTCGTCATAATGAGGGACTATCACCATCCCAACATCGTGGAGATGTTCGACAGCTACCTGGTGAATGACGAGCTCTGGGTGGTGATGGAATTCCTCGAGGGTGGGGCCCTTACAGACATTGTTACGCATGCCAGGATGGACGAAGAGCAGATAGCCACCGTCTGCAAGCAGTGTCTCAAAGCCCTAGCGTATCTACACTCCCAAGGCGTCATACACCGAGATATAAAGTCTGATTCCATCCTCCTGGCCCTCGATGGACGAGTAAAGCTCTCGGACTTTGGATTCTGCGCTCAGGTGTCACAGGAACTGCCGAAACGTAAATCTCTTGTGGGCACCCCATACTGGATGTCGCCCGAAGTGATCTCGAGGTTACCATATGGGCCAGAGGTAGACATATGGTCTCTCGGCATAATGGTGATAGAAATGGTGGATGGGGAGCCGCCCTTCTTCAATGAGCCTCCCTTACAGGCCATGAGGAGGATCCGAGAGATGCCCCCGCCTAAACTGAAGAATGCTCATAAGGTGTCGCCGCGTTTACAGTCATTCTTGGACAAGATGTTGGTGAGGGATCCCGCGCAGCGGGCATCTGCCCAAGAGCTCCTCTCGCACCCGTTCCTGAGACAAGCTGGCCCACCAGCCCTGCTCGTGCCCCTGATGAGGGGAGCGAAACACTCGAACTACTCGTAAGCGTACTTAGGGAACCCTGCATATATGTCTATATCTAGCGAGGTAAATTTTTTTTGTACTCCTTTTAAGTGATGGTTGTTTTATTTAGTTTTACATACCAAATATTACTTGATTTAATAGTACTAAAAATATTTTTTTATAGTTATTGTCGCGACTTAAATTATTTTTTTCTAAGGCTTTTTACTTTTATTGCTTCGTAGTAGTTACTTTTAGGTACAAAATGACATTCGGAGAGCACTCTTTCATAAATCGGGAAGTTTCATTTTTACGGTGCTTCGGAATACTCTTCTAAACGAGGAGTTTTTTAAATAGGAGTTTTTCTTTTGACACAACATATAATTCAGTACTGTACGCAAATTTTCTTGAAATATGACAGCGCAAATAAAAAATAAATAAGGGATGTTAATTTAGATAAGTCCGGTTCTGCTTAAACTATGGTTACTTTACATATTCCAATGAAATAAACAATGATCATGCTTGATAAAACTGCTCAACTATAGGTCGAAATAGGAGCATAGTTTTAATTTCATGTGTGGCTTTCGAGGTTTAATTTTATTGTAATTTTACGTTCTTTTATTTAAAGTATGACAGTTTTACGGATTGTTATGCCTTGGTCACTGCCAGTTACAAGCTTATAATACACTTTCTTAGCCTTAAGAAGGAATTATTGACATGCACTTGTTCTTGGGAAGGCTTTGTGGGGTCGGACTAGAATGATTATTTTTTTCGTGTCTCTTGTGAAAATTTGTTAGTTTATCATGTTTTAAGAGCCCCCTCAAAAAATCAGCTCAAAAAAAAATTTTTTAGAGGTCGCTCAAGATTTTTAAAAATTTTCAAAATCGCCAAAAATTTTTTCATTTTTTTTCATTTTTTTTCTCGTTATTTTATCATTTTCTAGGTTGAGAAAAATCTCGATTCTGAAAATTTCAAATCGATATTTTAATTTCTAAATGACACTCATAATTATTTTAACTTCAATGTAGTGTACCTGTTTTCGAGTGACCTCTAAAAAATAAATATCAACGAACTAATAATTTTTTTTTATTGAATTTGATGAAAGAATAGAAATAAATCATGATCCACTTAAATTTTAAAAAATTATAAATATTTGATACAGCGTGGTAGTAAATTTTGCCTTGAGAAATTTTTTAAGTGTCTCGTGATTTATTTCTATTTTGTTCATCAAATTCAATAAAAAAAATTATTAGTTCGTTGATATTTATTTTTAGAGGTTGCTCGAAAACATTTTAGGTACACTACTTTTAAAGTTAAAATAATTATGAGTGACCTTTAGAAATTAAAATATCGATTTGAAATTTTAAGAATCGTGATTTTTTTCCAACCTAAAAAATAAAATAACGAAAAAAAAAATTTTTTTTTTTTAAATTCAATATTTGACAATTTTTTTAATTTTTAAAAATCGTGAGCGACCTCTATAAAAATGTTTTTTGAGCTGATTTTTTGAAGGGGCTGTTAAAACATTTAAAAAATGTAATATTTTGTGTGTCCTGTTTTTACTCATCACCCTGTATGTGTCAAATTAAAATTGTTATTTAGGTTTCTTGATTCTGTATCTCATATAAACTTTTTGTCTTTATTATGAATTATTAACAAGGGAGTTATTTTATTTTCTCACACTAATGGCCCAACCTGTAAAAAAATGTATCAATTGAAAAATGTGCTTATTTTGTTGAATTGTGTTAAAAGAAAAACTCCAACTTAAAAAACATCCTGTATAATTTTAACTACTTTTTCCTTATTCTTTTAAGCACATGTAAATATTTTAAAATCTTTTTTATAATTATGTTAATTTTTTTATCTTGTTTTACGTTTGACAAAAAGTTTGTAAAAATAATTTTAAAAATCTGAGGAAAAAGTATCGAATAAAATAATAGACAAATTTTGTGAATCATATACAGCGTGTCCCAATTTATAGGTGTCCAGGCTGTTAATGTACAAAACAAATGAAGTTCATATATATTTTTTTAAATAAACTATTTATTCGCATGTTTATCATAGGTTAGCAGCCATGCTGTTAGATGCCAGTTGTTTTAAAATGTGTAACAAAAATTATGATTTGGTCCTAGTATTAGGAGCTGACATGATCTTGTGAAAAAAAAAAATTTGATTAATAACAGACACAAACCATACATTTTTGGAGGTGAGATATTTTTTTTTTCGAAAATACTCAAATGTTCATCCGTAGACTTGTAATTAGAGATCTATTTTAAAAAAATTATATTTATTATATCCTCATGTCATGATGTCGTATGTAGGGTTGCCAGATCTCCGGGTTTTGATGGTACATCTTCGAGCTCCGAATTAACATGTCATTTCTCTGGGTTTTCTTTGTTGCAGAAAAATCGTGATTTCTTCGAAAACATTTCCCACATTTCTTGATTCCGTCCTTTTTTTTTTAAATCCATTTGCAGCAGATTGTTTTAAAGTGACATCAGTGGAAAATAGAAATCAAAGAATTTCATTAATTCAACTTTTATGTCCACCTTATTTTCATATCTTAACCTAACCTAACCTAACTTTATGTGGAAATTTGTATATGTACATAAAATCGAGTTCATTTTTTTTATATAATAAAAATAAAAACTTAACTTCCTGGGAAAATACTTGAACATTCAAAGTTAGATACTTGAACAATAGTAATAGTTCTTTTTTGTTTTTTTTTTAATTATTGAAGATTAATCATGCAAAAGCGCAAAATTGGCCCTTTTTGACATTAACTAAAAAAAATAATTGAAAAAATAAAACAGTTAAATAATTGAAATGACGGAAAACATTTCTATATGTGTGTGTTCTTAAAGACCAGGTATTTAAAAGAATATATCTTATCTTCATTTGTGTTTTTACTAATGATCTGTTCACCTATAAAAGATACATCTTATTTTCTAATTTTATTGAAGAAATGAATCTGTTTTACATAAGTGCTATCTTTTTCAAATAATATATCTAGCTGAATTCTGAGCTTTATAGTATATTTAGAAATATTAAGTGCCGAATTTAATTTCTTTCAAACATGTTATCCTTATTTCTTTATATGTTTATAAATTAATAATTTAAATACTCTTACCTTTTATTATGGAAACTAATTGTCATATAAAAAATACTGAAAAAAAACCTCAAAGTACAAATAGTGAAACAAAAAAATATATATTAAATAATTTCGTAAATAGTGTCTTATTGAAACATTAAAAGCGATTATTGAACTGAACATAAAATTTCTGTGGAAACTGAAATATTTCAAGGCAAAATACGATGATGTCACATCACATAAATAGTACTGAAGTTTTGTTTTAGTAATTCAGATGTTTCAGCTTCCACCTGAAAAATTGCATGAGACTTAAATCAGGCAACCGAAGAGGCCGTTTTCTTAAACTTCTTTTTTCGGTACTTTTCAGTTTCAATGACACACTTGTTTTTAAAGACAGCAATATAAAAAGTAGTCTGTGTCTTTGGCAAACTGGGAATAAGAATTTTAATTTTGATCCTAATCTGCCAAAGTAAAGTACTATTACTTTACATGTTTTATGAGTTATGCATTTTTGAATCTCTGACTGTATAGGTGTATAAAACTTTAACAAAACTAATTTTTTTATCTGAAAATAAGATATGCATTTAAGAACTTAATGTATAATAATCTCTTGTAGCTTCTAAGCATCTCATAATTCCAAAACTAGACCAGTATTAGGGAAATGTATTTTAAGCCGTCCATTTTAGTGCCTTTTGGCGCCTACATACTCGGTCTCTATACTCTTTCGACTATTTATTTGCCTTTTTTTTTGTATAACATATTCCACTGAAATTTTGCAGAATGTTTCAGAATTAAATTGTTTAAAGTATAAACTATATATTTTTTAACAAATACATAAATATTCTCGAAAAATACTTTAAAAATTTTGAATTGAATTGAAAGAAAATTTGTGTTATTAATTTTAAATGATTTTAATAGTGAAACATCCTGTATAGAAAGGAAAGGCTTCCTTCATTTTATCAAGCGTCTTTTGCTGAAAATGTAATATATTTTACAAAGAAAAAACAGGACGAGAATATGTTATATAAAGAAGGCCATCACAGCTTTGTTATAATTTTGTTGATATTAGGCTAGCTTTTGATGCAGCTAATATAATCATATTGGTTATTTTTTTGTTGATATATTTATGAAATCTATAAATATGTAAAGGAGTGTCATAATACACTTTTATTTTTATTATATTTGAACAATTTATTTAACCTTATTCTTATCCTTCCGTACTTTCCATACTATTCCAATACAGGTTGTTCTGTTTGAAACTCCACAGTATATGCGTATAATTGATTTATGTTAGTAAAATTAATCATTTCAAAGAATGTGATCATAATAACTGCAATAATAAAGAATGGGAAGTTCTTTTACAGTACTTTTAAATGAAAATAATTGCTGGCAAGCACGCAAAAAAACCATTGTAAAGATTCAGAAATAAGTCCGTTTTGATAATTGTAGTCAATATTTATTTTGCAAATGGAAAATCTTGCTTTTCATACAGTGTTCTGAGCCGAGCCATCAATTTGTTGTTAAATTAAGTTTTTGCGTAATAACACAAAAAATTGTATCGTTAAATCTGGACAGTGTACCAGTCACTTTGTTGATACAATATCTATTGCCCTTTGACAATGATTTGTCCAACACAGACTTTAAATTAACCTTTTTTGTGCTTTATGGAGTTTATCCTACTCGAGGTATTCCACGGGACGTATTCTTGATTCGTTTCGACCTACAGAGTCTACAATAGATATACTATGAGGGGTGGGGGGTTGGAATGAAACAACCTCTGTAATAATCACTTTTAATAAAAAACAAATAACAAAAGCCTCCAAACAAAAACAGAAGAGTTACAAATATACAAATATATTATTGCTAACCTACACAGTGGCCTCTTTAAAGCTTAAATAACAGTATCTAAAAATGTTCGTTTCCACACCCTGCGCAGCACGCGGATGATATGTTAATATGATACATACAAGTTGTCGAAGTGAACATTGCAACAGAAACGTGAGCTTACTTATCCATTAAGTCCGTTTGACTACAGCCTACAGTGACAGGTTTATAATTATTATCTTAGTATTACAGTCTGAGTTCTGATTATTTTGATTGCATATCAAATATCTACTGGTTACTTCTACCGTTCCTAAGCATAGCGATGATGAGCGGCTACCACACTATTCGCTCGTCGAACAAAAGCAAACCGCACTCCTGGTTCTGGGCCAAGAAACTCTTTTTGGTTAATGTCAGATTTACAAATGGGACTTTTCATTTATACTTCTTCAAATTTTGGAAAATTGCTGGAGGTTGCTCATTGGACCAATATATACCAAAAACCTTAATGAACCAATAGTCTCAAACCACAAGTTTTCAAGATACAGGGAATTGAAATTTAAAAAATATATTTTAATGTCACTGAGGATGATTGGTGTAGATCAATGAAACTTGGGTTAATAACAAACATATTGTTCCTGACAGAGAAACTATTTTCATATGATGATTTTTCTGGAAACAGCTATTCTGCGGGCTAATGCATCGACCAGTAATGACATACTCACAGTCTGTGAGGGGAAACCACCAGACATATGCTGGTTTCAAATTTATTAGCTCTCGTGAGCACGCCATAGGCAAGCCTACCCACAAACGATGCAGTTATTTTGAGACAACATATAACACATATGGTTGCAGTTGTTACTCAATGCCTAGGTCTTCAAACTGACGGAGAGCAACCTGCTATTTCACAAGTTCTATAAATGCAAGACCTATGTAGGCAAAACTGCATTGCAAAAGAAATGTAAGTACGATGGTGAATATAATATAATCACTAAAAGTCGAAAAAAGTCATTGGTGTAGGAAATTTTAATTATTGAGGGATATAGAAAGGCAAATAGGACTGAAATTTCTACATTAACGACTTTTTTACTACTGGTTAACAAATTTGTATACTAATTCAGTAAATTTCTGCTCTTTGTCATCATTAGCCTAAGTTTCATCAGTATATTTCGTATGTCTAACATCTTCAAAGATATCTAATAAATCTGATATATTTTAAACTTCAACATCCTGTACATTAAAAACTTTGAAGTTTAGATAATTAGTTCATTAAAGTTTTTTTTATTATAAATTGATTCAAGGGACAACTTCCTGAGTTAAGACATCTTGTATATTTTGAAAAATTTACAAAATTCAAGATTTCAGTCTTTCTGAAATTATATTTATCAATACAACCTCAAAAGCCTCTTCCAAAAAATTTGCAACGTATTTTTAAATCTGTTGTGCATAACACATTTCATGTGAATAATTAAAAAATTTCAGTCCACATTCATTTTTTGGGTGCCATAGAAATTGCTTGTTTGCTTTTGTTATAGCGGCCTCGGTATAAGCTTGACAAGACCGGCCGGAAAGTTTTTACAATTTTTATAAAAAATTAGCTACCCCGAGCCAGTCGTATTTCCACTTCATTTTTCTTACAAAATGGAATGTTAAAAATCAAGATGAATGGACAAATCAGGGGTTCCGTAAAAAATGACTAGACTATCATGAATTGTTTATGAATTATGTGTGGCAAGTGAGGAAAATTGACGTAAACTGTCATCACCTGAAGTTGAGATTCATCTTTGGGGTACTCATACAATCTCGAGAATTGACTAGATAAGTCGAATATCGGTCATTTGTAAAATGAAAAAAAAGTCTCATTCGTGAAAATGAACACAAAAATTAGATATTAGAGTTACGAAATTGTTCCGCAATTGTATGAGTACGGCAGATATACATATGTTTCTAAATTAATTAATTATTTCCTAACTAAAAATTGTAAAAAAATGTAGCCCAAAAAATAATGTTACCTATCGTGAATGTTTTGGACAGGGTGTTTTGAAAAGAGGTGCAACAAATTCAAGGGCTGACAGACCATCAAAAAATAGCCTATCTTTTGTTTTTGAAATGCGGGGCATCCAAAATGATTTGTTTTTATTCTTGGCCGTATCTTTTTTGAAAAAAAATATGTATGTATGTGTAACACACTGACATGTGTTACAGAAAAGTTTTTGAGGATTTTTGTTGAAATAGAATTCCAAGAAGACTCCTGCGTCACTGGAAATACTTTTAATATCGTTAATTTTGGACTTTGTTGTAGAGGTCACCTAGAGTCCTAGTGCAGTCCTTTCCCAGCAATATTTTTGAATATAACTTTTTTGAGGTTAGCTTTTGTATCTAGTGTTACATATTGTAACGTAAAATATAATTTATTGTTGTTGATATTACTGAAAATGCACTATTTTTTGAAAGGAAAAAAAAAATAAACTGCCTGGGAAAGACGTTGGCTAACCTCTACAAGATACTCAAAAAGTGATAACACGAAAAAACAAAGTGATTTTAATTTAAAAAATTTAATATTTTGTATTTGAGATACAGAGCATCAAAAATTCTGTTTTTTTTTCCACCGCATTTTCAGGAAACAACATTTCACAGCAACATTTTAGAATATAACTTTTTTTAGGTTAGGTTAACAGTATAATGTATATTATCATGCAAAATATCATTTACTCTACTTTTGTTGAAGTTTTGAGTCTCAAAAAGATATACCTTAAAATGTCGGTTGGAGCGATTGCATCTAGTGAACTCTACAAAATAGTTGAAAACTATTAACACTGACATAACCTAAAATAATTGAAAATTTTGATTTAAAAAAATCTTTGATACCCTGTATCCTAAAAGCAAAAAAAGTAATAGGTCCATGGTCAGTGGAAGTCCAAATTTTTTGTTTTACCAGCACCTGAATTTTTGACATCTTATTTCGAAACACAGGGTGTAGAAATGCAAATTGCAAAAAACTAAAAATATATCAGGTACAGATTTCTGCCAATTAATCTCCGTATCAATTTGTTATGTTTTTGTTATTTTCCACAGTATTTTTTTGGTATATTCTACTTTTACCGGTGTCTGCTTGGGTAGATTTTTCTTCCACTTTCACATCAATATTCTTACGCATTAGACTTTTTCCGTTTATAAAAATACATATTAATTTTGTTTCCAAAAAATCCCGAAATGAATGATAACATATAAAGGGATTTTCTTAGACAATGTTATATTAATGTAATGTTATATTTGCATTTGGCAAAGAGATTTGCTGGCCCTGTACGTTATAAAAAACATCTAAACGGAAATTCAAAATCTCCTGGGCGTAACACTGCCGCCGACTTTATTTCTGGGGCTACAGATACAACAGTATTGCTTAACCGTTCACATGGACTCCATTTGCTCAGTAAGTTCAAGAATGGGGCTCTCCCTAAGCGGCAGCAAAGGAGGCCAGGCATTCGCTGCAATATTTACAGGGAACTGCTGTCCCTGTCCAATAAAAACCACTGTTAGCAAATCCGCTAGCAAGCAAGCGGCTCCACACACAAATATATAAAAACCAGAAGGGGTCATGCAAACACGACACACAAAATGAGTCGAAGCAAAACTTGTGAATAGTTTATTAAATAAAAACAAATTATATATAACAATACGTCTAACATAGCTGCGAAAAACAAGAATATTAATAAATAACACAAATTTGTACTACTGAACTAAAAAAGGACTAGTATATAATACTTGGGAAGATAAATCTTATTGTTAGGTTAGTTTTTATTACAGAATACGTCTAGCGAAGGCTTTGTTTGTGGAAAATTCGAAAAGGCAACGAAAATTTCTGAAGTATGCGTCGTTTAACTCTAATTGCTTATAAAAGTGTTCACTGGTCATTAAACATTTTAATTCAAAAACAGTTTCAAGAATACTTATAAAGAAAATAAACGGAAAGTACGTATAAGAGATTCCAAGAATATTGTATAAATATTCTAGTCTCAGAACGATTTCTTCCAAATTAAAATCAATTTCACAATTTATTGGTGCTAATGTTTAATTTATATAATGGAGATTCAATGAACCTTTTGAGATCCATCTAACCCTTGTTTATACAAGGTGTAAGTTTAAGACAGGGTCAGTTTTTATGAGTGTTCCCCAAAATACAAATATGAAACTAATTTGACTACTTATATAATTCCTATACTTCAGTGTAGTATAGTAGTATATAATACCTATAATTCAGTGAAACAAGAATGACCGAAAATGTCATTACATTTTGTTACGTTTATTTTAGCTTTTTGTTTATGAGATGTAGGTAATTTCGAGACTGTATTGAAATATTTTTACTATAATCAAAATATAATGTGTATAGTGCAATGTTAGTTTATTATATTTAATTTTGTAGCAAAATTATGAAAAGTACAAGTATACGAATGAAGAAATGCACGACACATGTTTGGGATTACACTAACCTATAAAAATAAGGAAAATAGGTTAAAAAACATAGTTTTCAATGACAGTCTATCGAAGACAAACTTATGTGTTTCTAATGGCTAAAAATACCTCCATATAAATATGACCCCTATTCAAAGTTACACCCTGTATAATTAGACAACCAAACAAGCTTAAGAATCAAAATGACAACTCTCTTACAAAAGTGTCTGTCATCTTTATTTATATTATGAACAAGGGTGTCAGAGTCACCATTTACTATCTCCATATCTAAGTTTGACTGGCTGCAAAAAAGGAACTATTAATGACATTAACCAAAGTTATATAAATTTTGTCAAGTGCACTGACTGGAATTTTGATATCCTTATCTTGTGAATCGGCAGAAAAACATGTAACATTTAAATAAAAAAATCGTATACTTTTATAACATATTCGTCGCCTTCTCGACTTTTTAAGTGTATCAACCGAATGAAGGAAAGTAGATAGTGCAGTATTGCCACTGACTAGTACATATAACACAGTTCAAAATGAACAAACTACAAGTGAATACTATATACAATCAATCTCTCTCCCACAAGAATGCACTGTCACGTTTCAGTCATCCTCTAAACGAGTCGATCTATCGCCTTCGACTCTGTTACCGTCCACAAAGCAATTAAAATACGCCAATGAAATGAAGCACTTTGAAACAAAAAGTGCACTACAAATGCTGCGGTACCTGATTCCACGTCGAGTTCGTGGTTTGCCAGGATGGCGCCGGCAACGAAATCGGCTCGGAAATCTGGCAGGAGTTCTGCATGTTGCCAGGTAGGGAGTTCCAAGCTTCCCCAGAGTTCTCCACCAGGGCTTGGAACGCCAGCAAGTCCTTGCTCTCGTTCTCCGATAGGGGTAACGGAGGTAGCACGGGCTGCTGTTGGGCGATCTTGTAGCTCGCCTGTCGTAGCATCTGCCGCCTCGACAGGCTATGACTAGTTTCGATACTGGGGGCAGTTGTGGACTGGTGAGACATTGCACACTGTTTCTGGAGGATTTGCCGTTTCTGCTGAAGTAACCTGTAAAAAAGGACTAAATTTATTTTCATGTCCATAATTCGAGGACTGATAAATTTAGATAAGTGAACTTCAGAGCCGAAGTAGTAGGCAGTTGTTGATTATAAATTGTATCTGTCGCAGAAGTGACATCGCACAGGAAGCATTAAAGCTTTATAATCTACATGGTAATGGTTAGCTACTAACCTGTGCTGCATGGCCGTTTGCAACTGTATGGGCTCCACAGGAGGATTCGTGTAACTAAAATTATCAGGCAGGCTGACTCTCTTGTTCCCTCTAGGCTGCAAATACTGATTGTGCTGTTTCTGCCTTTGTGATACTTCTTCAGGAGGTTCCCTGGTTGGGTACTGCGACTGTAACCTCTGCGCCTCCCTTTGCACCAAGTGCATATCCAAAACTCCCTTGGCTTTAGTTTTCTCGCTAAATTTCTGCGAGTTGAAAGCGACCACAGCTTTAGTGGTGTCGGTGACTTGCTGGGCGACCAAACCATCACTGGCACGTCTTCCTTCCCGAAAATCCACTGGAGACCTCGTTACGCCTCTGGTTGTCTTCAAACTGGACATGTGAACCAATGGGTTGTGCTTGTGGAGCACATATCTAGGTGATAAGTAGTTGTGAGTGCTCAAAGCACTGGAACTGGTGATAATCGGCTCGGGTTGCTTTTCAGTCGAAGTACAACTGGGCAGGCTGCTAGTCAACTCACTTGATTCGGACAAAGGATATTCTAAACTCTCGAAATTACTATCACAACTTAAGTTTTGGCTAAGGCTCTTTGACGTGTTGAAGTTCGTGACGACACCGCTAGAGGAACTGGACGAGGCGTAACTCAAACGAGGCCCGTGGTCTTCTAAATCAGTTTCGACGCCCTCATCGGTTGAGCTGGAATATTGGGTTTGGATTTCACTGCTTTTATAGCCGCTGCAAAGACAAATGTTATTAATACATTTGTTTTCTATTTGATACAATGTAAGGTTATATAATTGTCTTCCTACCTGGTATTAAACCTCCCTATGGAACCCTTACTTTCGTGAATATCAAATGGTTGCGGGCAGACCGAGGTGGTCTGTGCATAGGCATAAGGATTACCCTGGTGGCTGTAATCCTTGAACAATGTGGGATCTGCCGAAGCTGAGGGAATAGCTGACATTTGCAAAGTAGACATCAGCTTAGTAGCCTCACTACACATGCTGAAAGTAGTTTTGGTGGAGGCCTGGTTTAGGATTTTTAAAGCGTCTTCGCTGTTAGTTGCGGCTAGCAATTTAGCGGCGTCTATACCGTGAGCGGGGGGAGAATCACAGGTTCTGGGAATGCTACTGATCTTGCTGTTACTTGCGGTGGGGGCGGTAGTTGAGTGCTGCAGGAGGCGCCTGTACAGAAATTAGAATTTAAGGAAACTGGAGTGGAATAGCTAATCAGAAGTGAGATTTTTTTTTTTTCATTAAACCGGAAGAGGGATTTTACGAAATCAGAAATGGGATGTTATTGGGATAAAGCATTCATTAGGAAAATTGTATATTTACCTGCAATCCTCACTGGTGCTTGCCCTTCCGATCTTCCTCATGGCTTGTTCTGCGACATTGGAAGGCCTCCGTCGTTGCACCTCCCTCACACCTGTTTGATTTTCGCCCCCCACTAGTTGGCTCCTTAATTTGTCCAACAGAAGGTAGTAGATGGCAGCGTGGTGATCGTAACTTCCCAAACGAATTGACTAAAAAGGATCAGTTTTATTGTTCTTTCTATACTTTTTATGGTATAGGAAAATGTGAGATTTTATAGAATAATTTTAGAAAAATAGAGAAATACTCACTTCTCTAGTCTTTGAACTGTCTATCCCTAAGCTTTGCATCAGTCTAAGAATTTGTTCGTTGGGTTGTGTATTGGAAACGGATATTGTTGGTGGTAATGTCGGGGGAACCCCCATTTGCATCCACCGGTGCTTTTTAATTTGTTGAATACTAAATCGCTTATTGGGTTCTAGCACTAACATTTTTCTTATAAGAGATTCACAGTCTGAAACAGAAAGATATTTCTTTCTTTTAGAATGTCTGTGCAATAATGGTAAGGTGGCCAGAATTATGAAATTGACCAGGATACAGCACTAGAATGAATACTAACTTTCCCCTCCTTGCCAAGCATTTATAAAATATGTATTGTTATAATTTCGAATTGTAGTTATATACATATCCACGTATATCGTTGTTCGATCTATTTGAAATTACGCAAAAATAGGAATAGTCATCAATTTGTTTTTTAATACTTATTTTTCATTATTTTCTGATTAAAAAGATAACTATGAGTTTAATGCACTTATATAATAAACTTAGTTTTGCCTACATGTCGTTTACATTCTGAGATACGGACGAAAATTTATAAGAAAATATTGGATGAGAATTGTTACATGGCCTTCAAATTTCAATTCATGTTTAGAAATCTCTATAACTGCTGCTTATCTACGGTTATTAAAAGAGAAACGCAAATAATTAAAAATCACGATATATTACCGCTTCTAAAGAAAATGTTTTCGAAAGCGAATGCGCGACAACATAAATCCTTCTAATTGTCCAAAGGGGATTATTAAACATAATTGACTATAGCGGTGGCCCGAGATAAACTGCTTTATGGTTTGTTTACCTCGTTTACCTCGCACTTTCCCGACGCTTCTCCGTGTTATTTACCACGTCTTAAACATTCCTTGAAAATTGCCGTACACCACGTTATGAGAACTAGGTTCCCCTTTTTCCTTTTCGATATTTCCGTTGTTATCTTATATTTTTCAAACCAATATCTAAGGCTATATATATCTATGCTAAGGCAGGAAGTACGTTCATCAGTATCGTTACGCTATCGTTCATTTTGAAGGACAAACATATATAATTCGCGAAGGAATTTATGGTTTGAGAAACATAAAAAAAAATAGGTCGATTTTATTCCAACAAAGAGGACAGTTAAATTATCAAAAAAATACCATAGTTTAGGGGTGTAAAGGTATAACATAAGATCAAGGTGTATAAAAAAAAGTATAAAACAACCAAAAAATTGAAAACAAACAATACTTCAAAAAATAAGAAAGAGAAAAAATATATGTTACCTATCTTAATAAAATCTTGAACCGTAAAAAAATTTAATTAAATAAAAAAAGATGGGAACAACCCTATTATAGGACGGAGATTCGAAGGCATCTCTTTTTTCTTTTTTTTTTGAGCATTGGCAAAAACCGTAACATTTTCTGAAAAAGAATCGTAAATTATAAATCATTTCGCGAAATTTGTGAAATGAGTACAATTCTTTTTGTCGGTATAAACGACACAAAATTTGATGACGCACGGACGCACGGTTGACTTTTTTGTCTTAATAAATAACTTATTATATAGTTGTTTAATTTAATTTTGACCTTTGGCCTCTAAAATTATGATGTTGCATAATTTTAAAGCGGTTGACTTTTTAAAATATTTAAAATTGAACTCGATTTAATAATTTCTTGCTGGAAATTCAGATTTTCGAAGGGCAAAAGAAGTTAGACATACATAATTGTTACATTAACAGGAGAGTGTAAGTAGCGCCCCCTAGAAATTACCATACTCGTAATTGCCACCTTAAAAACTATTGCTGTGCAAAGATACTCAAAATATTAGAAAAAATCGAAAATATTTATTTCACTTTAACATTCTGTAAAACGAAAAGGAGCAATATTCGAATGAGTTATATTCAGTTCAGTTATCATATTCTGACGTCAGCAATCTTCCCTTAAGATGTGTACAATAACTATTAATGAATTTTATATAATTTAATTGCATTTGTCTTCTTTGGTTTCCATTGAGGATGGGAAAAAAAGTTTTAAACACAAACATTTATCCGCAAATAACTAGTGTGGACTTTTTTAATCCCCAAATATGGGTTTGCATAATGGATGAGCATAAATAGTCTTTTTAGGGTTGCCATTTTTGACTTGAATGCTTCGGGTTTCGCAATTATTCTTTGGACTTTGGATTTCAAATAACATTACATATTTATTCATTATTAAAAAATCTCCAGTACACAAATATTTTCCGAATAAATAGAACTTATTGATTGATTTTTATGATGTATTATTCAATAAATCAATGTTTAGTTGTTTTGTTTGATAAATATTGTAATTTATCAAATTATTTTTTTTTACGTATTTTTATTTTTCTTAAAAGGAATTATTATAAAATTACTAATATATAGTTATGTATAACATTTTCTTGACTCCTTCGTAAGGTAATTATTTAAAATGATACTTCGTTATTATCGTTTGATGTTTTCATCCCTAGTTCTTTTCAATTAATCTTTTCTTGCTTAAATTAAAACATGTAGCTTGCAAAAATAACTATAATTGCTTCACTTTGGAAACCAAATGAATGATATTTCCTGATGAGGACGTAATATTTAGGCACTTAGTCTTTTGTTCAAGGTAAACAAAAAACATTTCATTCACTTTTGTTTTTGTGTGAGGGCAATTGTTTTTGTTTTCGTATCGGACATTTGTTTAAAAACATTTATAGTGACCATTGTTTGTACATCTGGACTAGGCATTTGAATCGTCCAAAAAAACGTTTTGGAACCGCAATATCTACAGACCCCAGGGAAAGGCGAGAACGCAACACGAGTTTAGACGGCTGAAAGGGCTGATAATGATAGGGCCTGTCAGTGAAAAAATCGAGTTTAAACGATCGAATAGCTCCGCATAGGTCGTGATTTAGAATAAGGGCGCTCCTTTTGTCATGCAGGGAGGCTGCCTCGATCCTCCGGCCACCCCTCCGCACCACCCGGGCTGTAGGGATTCACCCAAAGACGTCAAGGGTTTTGTTGTGATTGACGTCACAAGTGCGTCATAGGGCGGCGCACGCACCGACAAAAGAACATCGCGTCCGATATTCGGCTCATTTAGCCATTTGCGTGGGGAATGATAGGATCCGGAAGGTTTCCGAAAAAGTCACGGAAGGTCGTCAGCACGAAAATGCAATAAATCCGCGTTCCTTTGGGTGTAAAGGTATCGCCATATATTTTTAGATGGGGCGCCTTTGGTCTAAATTTATATTAGTTCGGCATGGACAAACTTAGATCGAAGATATACCCAGAATAGAAAGTTGGTTAAAAAACTGGAAAAGCGAGGGAAATTTTCCTTTCGTTCTTAGATTATTTCAGATAAATCGAAGTAATCCGTATCAGTTCTACCTCGATATGCAGCTAAGTAGTTCTGTTATTTCATCGAGTCAAATATATACAGTCATTCACATAACATTATGCGTTTTGTCCCTTATCTTTTTTTACCTTTCTATCTAGGAAAAAAATGGTGAAAACCAAAGATTTGAGTAATTTTCTTACGATTTCAAATAAAATAAATAAAAAATTTGATTGTTGGATTTCAAACATTGTTTTTCTTTTAATTAACGCTATACTTATTTGTCGTTTTTTCGAATTCCTCTCGTTTTTTACGTTTTACTGATTCTGCACATAATCAAGATACTGCGGGTATGTTCTCCGCTGTTAAACTTTCTAAACAAGTCTTTAAAATTCTCTATTAAGAAAAAAATCTTATTATTAATGTGTTTTATAATATCTTTAATCTTTCTTCTACACATATTCCAAGCACATTTTTTTATACTTTATCTTTCAAAATCCTCCATAGAAAGAACACGTGGAGCTCAAATAGGGACTAGTAAAATTATTCTTCCATAAAAAAAAAGAAGAAAAAATGGCCTTTGTATAGAAAATAATGGGGTTATAAAACGTCTTATTGTGAAGTTTTTTCTCAATTAAATATTTTGATTTAATGTCAAAACTACAATTTTTTTATGAAGTAGAATAAATAATGCTGATGTAACAATCTCACTGCTTACTTATCTCTGGTACATCATATTTGCTTTAAACATTCTCACATTATTTAGTATAATAATAATGTACCTACTTATCTAAATCTCGGCTACTAAAATTTATAAAATGCAATTGTATACCTAGTGTATCAAAAAACGCAATTATTTGATAAGTTTTTTTTGAACTTTGACATTTTATGCTACTCTACATTATATTATTTTTCTATAACTTCTGAGACCGACAATTAAACTTTTACTTGCTTTTGATTAAAATGACAAAGTACTTCGTAAACTCGAAAACACGCCAGCATTGATAATAATGTTGAAAATATTTAGTGATCCTCAAAATCACAAAAAAACGCCGGTGGAGATGATATAAATGTATACGCTCAGTTGAAGAATGCGAGCGCGGCCAAAGGAAAACGAGCACAGTTGTATTGGGCTTCTGGGCAATAAATCACAGCAGGTGACAAGTGGTTCATAAATTGCCCAGCAGTGCAGTGCAGCGGTGCGGAATTTGGTATGAATCAAGCAATTTTAATTTATTATAGGCACCTTCTATCAATCATTCACATTACAATTGCGAAAGGGAGAAATAAGAGGGATATTTTGTTTACTAATATTATCACAACATGGCATTTTGAAGACGTTTTGAAACGGAACAAAACGAAATTTACCACCAATATAATAAAATTGTTTCAGGACATAAATAATTAAAATATGTTGTTGGCCAAATGAACATATAATAGAAATTTTCTACACTTATATACAAATTATTATAATTTTTTACCTTTAGGAGAAAATTTTTTAAGGACGCCTATGAAACTCATTAAATTTTATTACCAGACGTTTTTTTGCATATTCAACTGACTTCGGAAGGACTTATACTAATCAGGTACCTATATCGCAAGCAGGTTTGCTTTAAAACTTACTAATAGTAACTCAATCAAAATTAATTCTACACAACTCACATAATTTGCAGAACCTTGAAGCCAAGCTTGAAACCTAATATTCTGTTATTGTACTCGGTGCTCGGTGATATTTTAAAAAATTTATCATTTTTCAATTTAAACTATTTTTCGTCAGTTTGTCATTTTCAATTTATTTAAGTAGAAGGGGCTATTAAATTTTTTAATATTAACTTAATCGATTAATAAAATACTTTTTTGTACATTT